CAAGCATCTATTAACTACAAAAGACATGCATTTTGATACTCAGAAGAAATCCAACTTACTTTGCAACTAGCAAGGTAAACAAATTCTTCACCAAGATGTTGTCTAATCCTATGCAGTCCAAGTGCCTAGTGCTGGAACAGAAAGTAGCCTCCATGCACATAAAAAGTAGCAATGATTACAAACAAAACAAAACAAAAAGCCATACATGAAAAAAACAGAAGCAAAAACCAGCCTTCCCACAGCTATTGAATTCACACATTACCCTTCTGCCTACTTCTTTGTGTGTGTTTGACTGTGCTCAGTGAGGAGCTGAGAAACTTCTGTATTCGTTTTCCCCATTAAAAAAGGTGCAAGGGAACATTTTGTTCCTCTGCACATCCATTTACAGCTCACCTGGCTGTTACCACAGGAACGTGGTGATTGTTCAGCACTGCGTGACGGAAAAAAAGAGAGTTGGACAGTTTTAAGGCATGGAGCTGAGATGATTTAGGAGTATCCAGAGCGTCATAAAGTGCACCACAAACTGGGAAACCCAATTACTCTTAATTTCATGGCAGGCTTCTGAATTCCCCTTTGAAATCCCTGACCGCCTGTCGTAACAGAACTTACAACTGGAGAATTTCTTCCTCAGAGGTGGTGCTACAACTTACTAGAGGCCACTGCAAAAACTGTACCTTCCACAAGTTTTGCAAATATGCACTTTTATACAGGAATATTTATCACAGGCTATGGTAGACTCTTCCAAGTTTACTTCAGGCAGATAACAACATTAGAACTGACTTACAACAGAAAGCATTAGTTATAGATACCGAGTTGTAAGAACCAAAATAATACTCTTAACAGTGTTGAGATTTTACATCATCAATAAAAAGTTACTCCAAAGTTTTCAGATTAGTCTTTAAACTACAGGAAAAATCTCTCACTGACACATTATTGCTTCTTTCTTCAAAGCAGAGATTATTTGACCAAACAAAAGGAGTTAAGCAGCCCTGGCTCCTTGGTTACCATATTTTAACAAAAATTAATTATAAACAATAAAATAATTAGGATTAAGACTGACAATTATTAAAAATAAGACAAATTCAGAGATAAAGCTGTGAATTATTGTTTTCAGTGAAGTCACGGTTCACTGAATGTATTTAAGTACATAATTTGTGCTTAGAAATTAGATGCTGCAAAATCAAAATCATATAGTCCAAGTCTAAACAATAAATCTAAGCATATTCACACTGAAAATCCTCAGCATCAGGAACGCAATTAGCCAATTCCCACTTATCGCAAAAACCTAGCCAGCCTTTCTCTGAGCTTGCTCTCTCATTATTATTTTTTTAATTTTAATTTTTGAAGGCTGTATATAGATGTGTGTGAAAGAGAGTGGTTGCTAGCTTTATTGCAGTTTATGCTTAATTAAGATGTTCCACACTCCTTCCCTGTAAGAAGTTGCTTCCTGTGTGACTCATTCAAGTCACCTTTTGAGTAACTTGCAGGATAGTGGTAAAAGTCAGTTCCCATTTCCCAAAGCAGGGTGTCACTTCTGTACCACTTATGCCTGTGTTTCCATTGGCTCTGTAGGAGTAAGAAACAGGTCTTTTTGGAAAGCATATGCACTTACTGATGAGCAAACAACATTTAGCCAGCAAACACACTGAAATAGTGCAGACTGCTGCAAACAGCATTAAGGACTGCAATTCCAGTATCTACTTCATGTAGTCCACAGGAATTCTATTTGGAGGCTTTTTACTGCAGTTAAGTTTAGCAATGAAGTCGTTAAAGTCCAATCTTGAAGGAATACTACAGTGGCTACTTCTACATGGATTGAAGATGCCAATACAAAACTAAAAGCAAGTCCTGGAATGGTGCAATGGATAAACGTGTCCCACTGTTATTCCTGACTGTTAGGACAGTGGGACAAGGGGAAGAGAAGGGAGTGAAGATGCCTACGTGGGAAAGGCAACTTTCCAAGTGCACAGCAACAAAACAAAAGCAGCTGAATTTTAATACCTGAAAACAAGTATGAAAATAACTTTTCCAAAACATGTGCTGTTACTGTAAATAGGCATATACAAGTATGCCTGCTGCACGTATTTTTGCACGTGCAAACATACACCAAAGCCAACCTTCGCACACATGCCTGAGTGCTAAAGGCGTGTTAGTCTTCTGCTAATAGGCAACAGCCACAGCATTAGGGAAAACGTACAACAGGAGCAAACTCCAATTCTACCTCAACTTCCCACAACCACAAAAAACAAAACCTCAAACCAAAGCAGGAGCGTAAGATAGCACAATAGGGTGGAGCTCAGGTTAAACATAAGGACAACAGTTTTGCCTGTATATGCCTTTTGACCCCGTAACCATCCCTATGTACATACAGACACAGAGATTATTCACCTCTCTGCCCCTAAGGAGCCAAGGCAGGAAGTGAGGCTGCTGGACAAATAGGAGTGTACATTATTGGGGCTTTTGTACCATAAGTGTCTGCTTTGGGGGTATTTATGAATTAGGCTAGAAATTAGCATGAAATTGTGTGTGCACAGAACTGTTGCCTGCTGTTCGTAACTTAGCCAAACATTGTCAAATTAGCAACAACCACACTTCCCACTAAGGGCTATATATTTAAATGCTTTAAAATCAGAAGCTATTTTTGGATTTATGTGAACCAAAAAAATAGGGTTTGGAGTTGTTTTCCTTCAAAGAGGAAATAAACTCTATGCCCATACATTTGCTGCCTCTATCAAAAGTGGATGGCTCATTTGAGTTTATAGAGACAAACCCTTAATTGAAGCAGCTTGAGACGTTACACAAACAACTTGAGGATAGAGCTTCCTTCTTGAAAAGATTAAAAGGGATTGAATGCACATACAAGGAGTAGAAATGTCATCTCAGACATGCAAATATTCTCAGAAAACCACTGACTAGATTGGGCACACAATCTTAATGGGGAAAGCAGTCTGAAGACTCCTTCAGAGGAAAGCACTTATTTACAGAAATTGAATTTGATGTTGTTTAGAGGATAGCTAGGAAGAAGAAAGCTAGAAGAAAAGAACTATTCGACAATACATTAAATAAATTATTGCAGCAGTCTTTAAATCCCAACTTTAATACAGCCCTCTAGTAAGCAAATGTATTAGCACAATTGAAAGCAGAATAGACTTGATGGTCCATTGGTCTCTTTCAGTACAATAACTTGTGTTCTAGGATATTTGCCACGACACATAAAAGCCAAAAAAGTTGTCACTGGTAGTGTGTGGAATTAAACAAAGACACAAAGCAGGTAGAATTCAGCCCATGTTAACCTGTCATTCCACCAGATAGCTGCACAGTTCAGGGCCACTAGCTCAGTCTACTGGCTGGAAAAGTAACAGATCTTCCAACACAGGTTATTTATTAGTATTCTTGTAGTACAGTATGCAAATCCCCTCACTTACAGTATTTCTACCATGTCTGACACGGGTACATATACATTCTTCTGTACAGATATGACTCTCCAGGCATCTTTCCAGACAGCTTCCACAAATGATAAATTAACTTGAATAATAAACACAATTTTACATCCTTACTTCATCAAGAGAGTAATTTAGAGCACATGCCCAGCTTCCTTTAGTAAAAACACAGATAGCCTTTATCTTTGCTTTTTTCTACCAATCTTTAGTGGAAGAGAAGCTAAAAATTTTAAACACATCCAAAACTGTAACTCCCACAAGACCGAACTCAATGTAGCAATCTTAATAGAAGTCTGCAACTGGCAAAGAAATGTTAACACACAGGTAACTTCGACATAGGTATTTTTCCTGAGAATGCTTGATAAAGGCAAAAAGTGCACTATATATTTAATTGTACAATCTCATCCCAAACAAGTAAGGTTTATTTCTTTTCTTTCATTTCTGCTCTTAAATGATGTTTCACAAACAATTAAAGAACTAAAAATTACTGACTGTTCAGTACTGAACACTAATAAAAGTGATGCTGAAACACTGTACTATTCCATTATTTATTCAGAAAGAAATCACAATGTGTGGATACAGTCTGTTAAGCAAGATCAGTTCAACAAAGTGTCTTAAAGGCTAGAACTAATCTATAACCTGAAGTAAAAAAAAAAAAGTTGTAATCAATTTTGAGCCACCAACACTAACAGTGATCATTTAAATTTACTAAAGTGTAGTCATTTAATAGGAAAAACATACATCTAGTAAAAATACAGCAATAAAAACATTTGATTGAACAAATAAAAAAAATCTGCTCAGTACAGAACAGATCAAAAAAGCCCCACCAGCCCCAAACATCAGCCTTGATAATACTTGCATATTTTAGCAGTATGGATTGCAATACGTTTGTCACAAATGAATATGACAAACTTCTCATTGTAGGCTTACATTTCAAGAACCCATAACACAAAAACATTACTTGCAGCATACACTGAATAGGTGATATTGTACCTCCAGCATCAAAACAGCTGTAAGTCTAGATATACAATCTGAAGATAATAATCTCCAAAACCAATAACTGATTAAAAGTAATCTTAAGGTTCACACACAACTCCCAAGTTAATATTTTAACTGATTGTAAGCTCTCCATTTGTATGTCAGTGAACAGCTACTCACATAAGTAGTCTCTAAAGTTCAGTGGAGTTACTCCTGAAGGTAACAGTTCATCGAAGTTCAAAATATATATTTCTTTCTTTAAAACATTCACACAAAAATACAAATGAAGCACTTAGAATCATCAACCTTACTTACAAGTTCATGATTTTTTCCACTGTTATTTTTCTCACTTCTAGAGACAGAAGAGACCCAAAATTTTAGAAAATACTAACTATAAGCAATAAAATTTCATTAACAATAAGAAATGCAAGAGAAGGTGAAGAAAAAAAAAAGGGCTTAACAGAATCTAAAATGTCTATCCAAAATAGCTTCCCCCACCCCTAAAAAACACACATATACACATAGATAATTACTGCTTACTGATTTTTGGGGAGGAGCTTATGTCCAGCAGTCACCCAACTAGGGGGAAAATCGTATAAATACTCAAGGGTGACACCTGAAATCATCAGCTTCTGCTCACTCACCAGTGGCAGAAGAACTCCTCACTAGAGGAGGATTTGCAACTCTACTGCCCTGCGTTGGAGCTCCACAACATTTTGGTATGCTATTATTTCATTTCATTCTGCTTGGTTTTGATGCTAACTTCTACAGGATACTTGCTTTCTGGCTGGTGAGGGAAGCGGGTTGATATTTAAGACAGCATCCTTACTACCAGTTTGAAAGGTGACAGATAAAAACTTGCTTTCAAGCAAAGCAATATGAGATTTTAGCCACTGATGCTGAAAGAAGACTGGACTTCATATGTCATTTGCTGTAGCATTAGAGAGAAGCAGTAAGGTTATGGTGCAATGTCTGTAATAGCCACTGAAAACTCTTCTTCATTCCAGGAGATATATGCAACTTCTGAACTTAGTTTTGGGGTCCTGGTGTAATTAGGAAGATAGTTGCTCTTTCTGATAACAGTGGTTTTAAATAAGATGACAACTATTTAAAACTACTCTTTATAAAAGTGAGACCACTGCCTCTTAACTATTTCTTGTATATCTCATACAGACACACAAAAACTCAAAATCTTTAGTTAGCAATGCTGATTCCTTTCTCCTTAGAGAATTTTTCATAGATAGTGAAAGTAATCACAAAATAATGATACTTTTAACACCAACAGCTTAAGAACATCCACTTTTTATGCAGAAGACGCCGATCAACTCCTATTTAAAACAACTCTTTCTCCCCATTCTAACACAGAGCTGACCTGGAACCATGCATTTACAAATATCCTTACTGCTGCTGTTTTGCCTAAACATTGTCCATGGGAGTGATGGATATTTTTCTGAGCGATATCAGAAACAATCCAGCATCAAGGGGCCACATTTTCTACCATTCAATGTAAAGAGTCAAGGTAAGCCTACCATTTTTTGATGATCAACTAAAAGAAAATTATTTCTAGTGGGTCAATACATGAACAAAAGTTCTCTATACTATTGGTAGTCAACTTTTACTAACAGTTTAGGCTTAATTTAGTAAGTTCATCACTGCAGAAAACTGGCAGTGGCACTGGCAGTTGCCTCCTGCTGATAAAGATGCACAGTTGTCTGATTTCTTTTGTTGCACAGTAGTTGCTGAAAGGATACTAAGCAGAAACAAAATTGCAGCTACAGGTCTGATTTTCAGTTGTAACACAACTGCCTGCATAATTATGCACATGAGCTAATAATCCTTAAGCCTTTTGGTTCAATGCCACGCTTCCTAACGATGATCTGACATCTACAATATTTAGAACTTTTGTACAACCATCATGATACCTCTATGCAAAATGCACCACGCATGTGAATTCAAACATACATTTGATGCATATTACCAAATGCAGACCTGTTTAAAGCCTGGAAAGGCAAAATAACTTGATATATATATTTGTAAAAACAGAACATAAACCTCTCTAGATTTGTTTTTCATATATAATTTAAGCTTGTATTTGGTCAGACATCTCTCATGACAATAGAACAATTCTAGCTTTACTATAAAAAGTTCTCTTCATAAATCAGTATTAGAGCAGATTGAATGTGCAGTTATAATTGCAATGTTATACTTTGTGATAACTTATTTCTTGTTACCTTTTTCTGTCCATTGAAATCAAATGGGTGGTGACATTTAAGGTATTAAAACTACCAGAGTTCTGTTTTGTTTTTTTTTTTCCCTCTTTTTTTTTTTTTTTTTTTCCCCCCATCCTTATACCAAAGCCTTTTTAAATGTTGAAAAAACTACAAACCAAAACTTCTGACTTTGTAGGTGCTGGTTATATTTGATGAACAACCCCAGCAGAACACAACCAGTACTCTCTATTCAAAGTTATTATCATTAAATTTGATAGAACTTAACCCTCCCTGTAAATATCCCTCTCTCCCCAGAAGAGAAATACTTCTTTATTTTGGACATCAACAGGATATTTAGAACAGCTTTCACTTTTGTTGTCTTTCACCTACTTTTAGCTGTAATAATTACACTTGGGCAGAAATGAGGAATCTGAATGAGGGACTCAGACAAACAGACTTGCAAATAAGCTTCTCCTCACCAGAAAAAGTGCATTTTAGGCTATGGAATTGGAAAATAGCATAACAAGCAGACCTGGAGAACAGAAAAGTTGTTGCTTAGGACATAGTACTTGCATTATCCTCATAAGCAAGATTCATTTCAGAGTAACTCTAGACCTGTCCTATGGACTGGACACTCATGAGTAGTACACAGAAAGTCCAAAGATGCAGCCCTGCTCTCACCCAAACTGGCTCCAGCTCATGTGCTCAGAGAACGCTCTACAGTGAGAACCGAGTGAAAGCAGCATTACTGGGAAACTTACCCTCCATAACATTCTTCTGGGCTGTACCAAAATAATATTACAGTTTCATCCCTTGCCTTTAGCATGAGGACCTTCTGGAATCCTACTGGTACTCTTAGATTGAATTTCAGTACATGAACAGATACTGAGGACTTGCTAGTTGGAGTTCCCATGAGGATACAGTTTCATTTCCTCCTTCTCCTTTCAGTAATTCTTCAGTGTTTTTCCATGATTTTATTGAGTATCATATTATTCTCAAGTGAAGTACACTGTTTACTTGGTTACCTTCTACAGTAATTCTGGGGGGAAAAATAAGCAAATTAAGGAAAAAAAGGAAGGAGCAGTATAGACAAAAAATGGGATGAAAGGGAGGAGAAAAATGAATTGTCCTGCACAAACTTTTAACTTTTATGTACTTAAGAGAGAATCTAATGTGTGTGAAACTTCTTATTTAGAACAAGAATGCTTATATAGACCTGTGAAAAGTGTAAAATGCTGTCTATTTAGGAAAGAGAGCAAAAATTATATACTAGACCTCATAAGCAGGAATACCCTACAATTTTACAGACTTGGGATTCCAGTTGTTTGACGTATCTTCGTTTTGTTGGGAACAAGTATAAGAATGGAATAAACTGGACAACTTTTGCTATTCTTCAGGCTAGAAAACAAGCATCCCACGGAGGATTTTTAGAAATGATTTAAGAGGGCTGTGTTAAAGAATAATTGTTTCCTAATCTGAGATGAAAAGGGAAAAATTAAATAGAGACTGCAGAACCAAATTGATCTCTCTGTATTATCTAGTGAGCTTTTCCTTGTGCAAGTAGCTCAACTACCAGATAGCAAGAGATCTAGTCTCCAGTAAGTTTGTTTTGTATAGCTTTAGTCTAGGTCTAAACAGGTGACCCATGACAACACCTGCTAGGTGCTATCATGCAGTAGCATCTAACACAGAACATGGGATGGAATTCCTACATTCTTTTTCATAGGTGGCAGGTTCCACATCCTAACCACTCTGTCCCAGCATCAGAGTAGCACTGCATTTGTAATTCTCAGAGGTGTTTTCCTGTTGAGCACAACCAACTTCAGTATACAAATTCAGTCTAGAATCTGGTTCAGTGCAGGTGAGGGCCTGCTATGCAACAAGCATAGCTACAGAGAAACTCTGCTATGTTCACAGCAAGATAAAACCATGTAGTATGAGGTAGTCAAGGTGAGGCAGTAATTTACAGAACTTGAAATTGCATCAATATTAATTATTTTAATATTAATATTGCTTCAATATTACTATTTAATTTTAATTCAACAGAATTCCACTTCTTTATTAGAATTTAGTGTTTAAAAGAATATAGTTTCAATGCAGAAACCTGATACTTTCAGTCTATATGCTCTACTCTCACTTGAAACAAATTAATAAATAAAAATTCCAAGAAGACTTTCTGTCACCTGATTAAAAATGCCAGATCTGTAGAAAACATTTTGTCTAGGCACCTACCAGACCCCAAAAAACAAATAGCATTTTCTTTAATTTTAGCTTAGCAGACAAATGCAATATTGGATGAAATTCCAGAAAGCAGTTCTGTAGGCAATTAAAACCTATAAAAGCTTTACCTAATTTGATGAAGTTGCACAACAGTTTTAGAAATCTTTCTTGACTGCTTACCAGTCAGAACATACTTTCCTTTTGTGTGTGTGTTTAATATTATAATTTTCTAAATATACTAGGACTTAGCATTAGGACTAAGACTATTATCTTTAATCCATTACATCATTCCTTTGAAATTTTTGTGAGAAGTTCTAGTTGAGAATAAACTTAGAATTAAGTCTGACTGTTCAGCAATGCTGAAACTAATAAGCCTTTACTGAAGGTTATGCTGAAGTGTTTAAACTTATTTTTATATGTATATATACATACATATAAATATATATATAATATTCATCATAACTATGGTATTTTTTTTCTGCAATACTACCAGTTGCTGCAAAATAGTGAAGTAGTCTTACAATATCCATATCAATCTTCTCAGTAATATCCCACAAATCAGCATCCTAATTCCAACAGGAAGCTAGAAGTTTCCCCAGGGTGCACAGAAAACTGAGTATTGAGCTTGTTTATTACTCTATTTGTGACATTTGGTTAAGTGGCTCCACCTGCTGTCATGATAACTAAGAAAAAAGATCATTAAAAAAAAAAGAGAAAACAATGCTGGAATTCTGACTTCAGTAAGATAAAATATCAGTTATCTTGTCATAGTGTGAAATTACTACTGAACAAAAATTTCTGTAAGATGATAGTATTTAAAAATATAACATTCATATGTTTACCAAAAAAAAGCCAACAGAGCGATGGCTCACTTTCAGAGATAAGGAGGAACAGCCAGAAATCTGACTACTTAAATGTAGCACCAACTTTTTTCATAAAACCTACACTTATACAAGAAGCATCCTCCACTTTCAGTCATCATCAAAATGCAAATCTTAACTTGCTAAATCAGCTACCTGTTTTCTTTATTCTTTAATAGACTGCATCCACTTGAACAGCATCTTTTAAGCAATTTGGCCCTAGATGTATTCAAGAAAAAATTTCTAGAGGCTTCATAGCTCACACTACAACTCAACACATTTGCACATTGCCATATGAGAGCCTCAGGTCACTTTCACTGTGAAAGTTGGCTTGGGTTCTGAGTGACCAACTGCGATGTCAGAAACTTTGATTTCTGTGAGGCCCAAACAAAGTTAATCTTTCACACGTTTCATCACCATGTTCCAAGTCTGCAAACTTGTAAGGTCTTTCTCATGTTAGGTAATTATATGAAATGTTGTAGGTACCCTAGCTGACCTGTTTTCCTCTCTCATGCAGGTGTGCAGATAAGAGGCGAACAAGGACCCCCTGGTCCCCCAGGCCCTATTGGACCAAGAGGACAACCAGGTCCTGCAGGAAAACCAGGGTTTGGAAGTCCTGGACCCCAAGGTCCCCCTGGTCCCCCAGGACCACCTGGATTCTCTGCTGTTGGAAAGCCAGGGATGCCAGGTCTACCAGGGAAGCCAGGAGAGAAAGGATTAAATGGTGAAAAAGGAGAAGCTGGACCTGTTGGGCTCCCAGGAGCAAGAGGGCCACAAGGACCCCCCGGTATTCCTGGCCCTGCAGGACTGTCTGTCCCTGGCAAGCCAGGACCACAAGGCCCTCCAGGAGCTCAAGGTCCACGGGGCCTCCCTGGCGAGAAGGGAGAGCCAGGTATTCCTGGAATAAATGGACAAAAGGGAGAAAGTGGGTTTGGTGTGCCAGGCCGCCCAGGTAACAGGGGTCTTCCAGGCCCGCAGGGACCTCAAGGCCTCCCGGGTCCTGCTGGGATAGGGAAGCCTGGAGAAAATGGTCTTCCAGGTCAACCAGGTATGAAAGGTGACAGAGGTTTACCCGGTGCACGTGGAGCAACTGGTATCCCAGGTCCACAGGGTCCACCAGGAGAACCTGGAGAAGCTGGCATCGGTAAGCCTGGGCCAATGGGACCACCAGGAGCAGCAGGCATCCCTGGAGCCAAAGGACACCCTGGACCTGCAGGCTTGCCTGGATCCCCAGGTCTTCCAGGATTTGGAAAGCCAGGATTGCCAGGGATGAAGGGACACAGAGGGCCTGAAGGACCTCCTGGCCTTCCAGGACCTAAAGGAGAACAAGGCCCAGCTGGCGTGCCAGGAGAACCAGGTCCTGCTGGGTCACCAGGGAACATGGGCCCCCAAGGACTCAAAGGCTTGCCCGGTGAGAACGGCCTACCTGGACCCAAAGGCGACATGGGCCCTGCAGGCCCTGCAGGATTCCCAGGAGCCAAGGGTGAAAGAGGTTTACCAGGATTAGATGGAAAACCAGGATACCCAGGTGAGCCAGGTCTTGCTGGTCCTAAGGGACACCCGGGTCTCCCAGGTCCAAAAGGCGACACTGGCCATGCTGGGCTACCTGGCCTGCCCGGTCCAATGGGCCCACAAGGAGTTAAGGGACTGCCAGGCATCAATGGTGAACCAGGACCCAGAGGACCTTCAGGAATTCCTGGGATCAGAGGCCCCATCGGTCCCCCTGGCATGCCAGGAGCCCCTGGTGCTAAAGGTGAGCCAGGAGCACCAGGACTCCCAGGCCCAGCAGGTATTGCTACAAAAGGCTTAAGTGGACCCATGGGACCACCTGGACCCCCTGGGCCTAAAGGCAACAATGGAGAGCCTGGCTTGCCAGGTCCCCCAGGTCCTCCTGGCCCCCCTGGCCAAGCCGTAATCCCACAGATGCCAGAAGGCTATGTTAAAGCTGGAGAGTCTCGAGAACTATCAGGAATGTCTTTCATTAAAGCAGGAGTAAACCAAGCTCTCACAGGAATGCCAGTGTCTGCCTTCAGTGTCATTCTCTCAAAAGCTTACCCTGGGGCAACAGTCCCTATCAAATTTGACAAAATCTTATACAACAGGCAGCAACACTATGACCCCAGAACAGGGATCTTCACCTGTAGGACCCCCGGACTGTACTATTTCTCCTACCATGTACATGCAAAAGGAACAAATGTTTGGGTTGCACTCTACAAAAATGGTTCCCCCATCATGTACACTTATGATGAATACCAGAAAGGATACCTTGACCAGGCCTCTGGCAGTGCTGTCATCGATCTCATGGAGAATGATCAAGTATGGCTCCAGCTGCCAAATTCAGAATCCAATGGTCTCTATTCCTCTGACTATGTTCACTCTTCTTTCTCAGGTTTCCTATTTGCTCAGATCTAGTAACATCCCACTTACACTGTCCTGACCCTCTCTCCTTCAGGCCATTTTAACTGGGTACTGATCTGATGTCCTTAGGAGGTCATGCAACTTCAATTTTGCAACAAAAACTGAAGAGGGAGTGAGAAGGTGGAAGAGATTGGTTCAAGCCTAGTAGAATAATATTGTTTGTTTCTAGAGAATTGTCATAGGAAATTTGTTTCAAAACAATGATTATTTGTCCAACCAAATGCAACATTAAAACTTTATGAATTAATATAATGCACCTGTCTGTCTCTCTTCCTTAAAAAGGGGGGGGTGGGTTGGGGTGGGGAGAGGAGAGGAGGGAAAGAGAAAAGGGGGAGGGAAGAGGTCAGAATTTCTATCTATCATTTCTCTTAAAGGTAAAGTAGCCATTCCAAGACACTAGATCACACTTGGCTACACTTTGAATAATACCTTCAGTTAATTAAACAGTCTCAGATACAATATAATCATAACTGCTAGCTAATATACTTCATTATTAGTCTGCTATCTATCATCTTCAAGCTACCAAACAAGAATAAAGAAAACACAACCCTAATACAGTGCATAACGTGTCACAGTTTAATAGGAAAAGTTGAACTAAATTAAGAAAATCTACCCTGGAAAGAGATAAATTGACAAATCATAACCTGTTAGTGAAGATCTAAAATCTTTTGTAACAGGAAAAAGCAACCAGATTTAAAGACTAGAAATAACAGGATGACAGAATTGTTAAAGCTGGAAGGGACCTCTGGAGGTCATCTGGTCCAACCCCCATGCTCAAGCAGGGACACCTAGAGCAGCTTGCCCAGGACCATGTCCAGGTGGCTTTTGAAAATCTCCCAAGGAAGGAGAATCCACAACCTCTATGGGCAATATGTTTCAGTGCTCTGTCATCTGCACAGTGTCATAATAAAGAAGTGCTTCCTGATGCTCAGACACAACCTCTTGTGATCCTGTTTGTGCCCACTGCTTCTGGTCCTGGCACTGAGCACAACTGGAAAGAGCCTAGTTCCATATTCTTTGCTCCCTCCCTTCAGGTGAGAACTCAGGTTTGTTTGACATACACGTATATGTTATGATTTTCAGCAAACAACTAGTTCAGTATTTTTTAAGCTGTTAATTAGCATTCTGTAAAACTACATCAGTCAAGAGTGCAGTAAAACAATTATCATCAAATCTGGAAGATAAAGGAAATACCTTCACATGCACACAGACCGACAAAATCAGAACAGTTTACCAAACCTAAACTGGAGATGATCTTTCCTTTTTTTTTTTTTTTTTTCTCTGAACAATTCACGTCTTTAAAACACAATAGTCTTGGGAATTTATTTTACTTACATGGTAAATGTATCAGATGTTGCCTGTAACTTGTCAGGGGACATAATCATATTTACTATACACTCATGTCTCCCAAATGTTAGTTATTGTATTAGTCTGTTATGGCACTATGAAAATTTAATGGCATAATGTAAGCTAGCTCAGTAACATCAATGCTTATAAATTATTGAGTTATAATAGATCGATTACACATTTCTTCAAGTAACAGTTCCCATTTGAATGTTTTAAGTGTCATATACATCCAAAGCTTATCAACTCTTGTACTATTATTTTTAGCATTTTGTTAAACAGATGTTTTTAATTACTTGAGCTAAAAGTACATAGGCATATTTTTAAAGTTTTGTGATATCATTGTTTCTTCATGAAAGCAAAACCAATGCTTGTTATATACATTTGAAAACAGCAATTTCCTAAGTACTTGAAAATATCTTGGGATTAATAAAATCAGCAAGGGCACCTTCGGCTGATACATCATTAGCAAAACTAATGGAGGTTGTAAAGAACTTCTAAGAAAGTAACTTTGCAGAATTGTTTTTGCTCCCTTTATTATGTGTTGCTGGATTAGGAAGACTGTAGCTTAGGCTATACTTCAGTAAAATAGTAAGCATATAAGGGGGTTAGGGGAATTGAGATCTTATTTTAGCAGCCAACTAGACTTAGACAAGTAAATGGTTGCTATTATTATAAACATTACATATACATGTACTTGTCTGTATGGAAATAATACAGTGGAGAGTACCGCAGCTTGCCTACCTGGGCAACCTGCTCTAGGGAACCTGCTTTGGCAGGGGGATTGGACCCAATGATAACTTGAGGTCCCTTCCAACCCCTACAATTCTGTGATTCTTTCAAACCAAACTAAAACTCAATACACTTGAGTGAATTGTCTATCCTTATCTTTCCACCTTCCTGTTTTAAATCAACTATTAATTATAGGTCTCCTCAGAAATACCTCCCTTTTTCTGCATTCATCCATTTTGGAAACTTCTGTTTTGGAAACAAATAGAACTAGGTACCAGAACTTTGGGCAGTTTAAAATTGTTTAAAATTGGAGATGCTTGGTGCTCAGCAACTGTCCTGTGACTCCAATTAGCCAGACTTTGCACAAGAAACTGGGCCTAAATAGTATTCTTAAAAGTATTGTTCACTAATCTTTATCAATCCATTTTAAATCAGGTTTTGTGCTTTAAACTCTTTGTTCCTCAAATAAGCACAAAGAACTTCATGAAAGTCTACAACTTCATACTTCAGGCTTGTTTTTTTGAAGTCTTTCTTGCAATTGTTCAGACATTAAGTCATTAACAAAACAACTCAGCAATGAAGAGTTGTAGATAACTCATTAAACTGTGGTACAATCATTACGTATAGATTTAGCTCTGGATTCACGGTTTAGAGCAAACTTTGAGAAAGTATTTAACATTCTTAATCATTATAAGGAAAGATAAACTAACTCTAACTAATATTTATCATAAGATGCGTGTTTCAAATAAGTTAAATCTGTTTAATCCCACTTCACGGGAGAAAGGAAGTCTACTGCAAAAGAATTATATCTCCTGTAAATATTGGGCTTTGGAAGAGGTAGAAACAATCAGACAGCAACATGGTTGATGGCCATGCAGCTCAAACAGAATAGTCAAATCACAGCACCCTGAAGTCTGGGCACACTGGTAACTCTTTACTACAGAGTTCTTTGCATTTGTCTTGTAGCACTGCTTTAATACTTTTTCCACATGAACATTTGCTGCCTACCTAAAGATAAAGCTCTTTCTAAAATATATCTTTTTCCAGAGCCGGTGCATTAGAGGAAAGAAAATGTAAATGAGGTTAAAATGAAAGTATTTTTTAATAGTACAAAGCTGTCTTTCACAGGCCTCAAAAAATATTTGGGGACAAGTTTCAGTGGTTCTTGAATGATCAGACAAAAATAGCCACATGATGTATTTACCTGCAAAGCCCAGCACAAACGCATAACCAGTTTATTTGATTATATCTTTGTTGCCATTTTCACAATCATGACTAATTATGATCTCTCTTTAATGGACTAGAGCATCATTAGGAATTCTAACATTTTAGAGTTTTTGAAGGATTTTTTTTTTCCAGAAAAGAATCTTTTGTTCGTTGTATCTGAAGGATATAATGCAGATATCACGGACACCTAGACCAATTATATTCCACAAAGACAAAAGGGTTGTATCATAAACTTGTGATCAAAAACCTCCATGTGTACATGTGCGCATGTGTTTGGGGAAAGGACAGTATTTTGTAAAGATCCAGTTTCCCGCCTCAAAGCTACATCTCCCATATACAAGCATACCACTTCAGAATATTGTTTATTTACATTAAAAAAAAAAAAAAGAAAATGCAAATTGTTAAAAAGAAGGTTTTAAGTGTAGTACTTGCTTTGATTTTTTATTTTTAAGCAATGACAGATTTCTCAGCTGCACCCTTGAAACCTGAGAGCATATCCCATCAAACTTTTTTATGGGCACTTTGTGAAGGCTTGAATTCTATATTCGGCATCATTTTTTTTACTTCTAAAATGAAATATAGTCTTATGAATTGACTGCAATCATTACAAATGTATCATTCTCACTAGATTACCTTCGATGTTATGGTTACCTATAGTGTCAGGGAAATGATGGGGAAAGACAATCACGCAAGAGAGAAATAAGCCTTTACTGGACCACATTAAAAAAAAAAATCTGCTTTAAGAAGTTATAGCAGCCAGTTTCCTTCCACAAAAATCATTTTTTTTTCTGTCAAAATAACAAAATTTGAAAATGTACATATTTATACAATGGAAAATGTATTGTCACATGATTTTTCCTTTAAAATTGCTCTACTTCACAAAGGAAGGTCCAAATAATACATGGATATTTTGGGACTCTCTTTGGTTCCCTCTGCCTCAGTTCTTCAATTCGTTATGAATAAGTAAACGAGTGGGTTAACACCTTTCATAAGTCAGGACAATCATGGCTATCCAAAAGAGCTATCAAAACAACATATAGTCAGACAATTATCTAAGGCAATTACCATGGCTAAGACAATGAAAAGTGAAATCCACCAGACACCTGACTAATGATCAAAGAAATCTTGTGATAAAGAGAAGGGACATAGAAAAACAAGGGCATAGTGACAACAAACCAGAGGCAAAGTGACTTGCAAACACAAATTTCAAAAAAATAAAATGGTCAGTCGTTCTGCTCCGTCACTGACAATGGCACTACTAAGATGGCATTTCAGCTTGGGAACTTTGTTTCCCAGCTGACCAGTTATTAAGTTTGCTTTAGAAAATTTACCTTGACTACCTGTAAATGAGCACTCTTTCTCTAAAGGGTTAAAACCTTTGCAAGGCACTGAGGGCATGGAGTTCAGTCAAGAGACTGTGGTTTTTGGGCCAGGTTCTGGGCTGAGAAAGAGTGTGGGGCTTCCTGGTATGCAGAAGTTGGGCTAGAGCCAGCTTTAAGAGTTTCCTCAGGAAGTTATGTTAAGCTTGCACTCAAGGAAAAAAAATCTCTTTGGCATGAACTTGCAACAGAAAATTAGTACTAGTATTCCCATCTCACAGAAGAGGGACCTGAAGCAAAGAGATCCTCCATGAGAATATCACAGTTAAGTTGTGCAGGAAGAAATATCTAATTCTTCTAACTCCCAGTTCAGTGCTTTATCCACTGGACCATGTTATTAAGTGGAAAAGAAGACCCCTATAAAGCTTTTCAAAATGATGCATGACAGACCTTAGCACTACCATATATTAAAATGTTTAACTACAGTGTACAGTATGCATTGATTTACTTATGAGTTTACAAAGCCCTATTCTGCTACCCCCACCCCCCAAAAAATGATGCTTATCATTTACTACCTTGTCTTATATTTTATTGCTGTTGTGCACGTGCCTCGTGATTTTTATAACAGTGAATTGGGTTTATTAAACTAAATACCTATTCTGACGTGAGTTAGAAAGCATCAAGTCATGTCACACATGTCTGCTTGGATGCAGATTTCATACTTACATATACAAATAGGTACATTAGGTAGGTACATATGTACACACACACTTGCATAAAGATATCAATTCTTTATATGATATTAAATATCAGGCTTTAAATTGTTTTATCTAATTAATTCCCAAAGAACTTGTTTTTTTTTTTTTCTTTTTAAACCAAACTGCATTATCCACATCTTTTAAAATGACCAACTTTCAGGATTTGAATAAAAATAAAAATAACAAAAATGCCAAAAGTTACAGTTTATTAGAACTGGTTTAATATCAGCAGAAAATACAAAAATACATTTATTTCATATGAGTGATATCTTAAAGGAATTTAACTATTAAACACACTAAGCTTCAAAGAAAACATAGCAGTAGCAAAAAAAAAAAAAAAAAAGTATTTTAGGATTACCAAACTGTCTTTTACAACATATATTCTGAAATCACTTCTACTTTTGTTTGGAACCTCTGAGGGGATTTTTTCAACTATGTCTGAAAGAAAATGATAAAACTGACTGCTTCAGCAAGTAGTAAGAAGTACTGGTGAACAAAAGCTAAATTTTAAGAATGTCTAAACCTGTGCCTAATGAATGTTGTGTCAGAAGTAATGCTATCAGTAATATTGTCAGCAAAATTATAGAGTTCTGAACTATGCTATTTTATTTTTACAAAAAAGTTAAAAATAATTTTTATTAGTTGCATGCACACAGAGGATGCTTAACCTTTAGTCTCAGATTATTAATTACTCATAAGTTATGTCTGTGAAAGGAAGAAAAACATTTCTAGTCGAAGGGTAGCCAAGATGTTTCCCAATTCTAATTTATTCTACAGTAGAATAAGGCTGGTTTTTGGTGAAGGAAGACTATTACTTAAATAAGTAACTTTTATTTTTTAAAAATTATCCTCTGCAATTTCTAGTAAATTTGTAACAGAATAACATAATTCTGAGAAGGTTTAAAACTAGGATGACAATCTCCCCACTTTTGTCTCAACTTACTACATAAGGAATTCTAATAAAAACTAATGGCCTAAAGGAAGTGTAGCAAAAAAATAATCAAATATTACTCTTTTCTCCAGTGCATTTTTTATTTTATTCATAAATACAAGCACACCACAACTAGAATCAAGATACAGCCCAAGGATGCCCACATTGCTATACCAACTGCTTTTCCTCTAAATTCAGTGAAGTAGTACATCACAAGTGTTATTTAAAAAAAATATAAAAATCAAAATGGCTCCAGCTAAACTAAATAGTAATGGCAAGCAGGATAAGCATGTAAATATACAACCATGTATAAGCCTGAAAAGTAAAAACTATGTTGAATAACCTACAGTGTACTTGCAAACGCATTCACTCTGTCAAGCAATGTATTATTTGCAGCTATTATTGTAAGCTTTCAGTGAACCTACTTACCTTTAAAAGCTGTTATTTTGTAATTATGCTGGATAGCAGCAACCATGTCCTTCCAGAAATCATATTTTTTCTGACCATCGTGCTGTAAGTATCAAAGGAATCTAGTCACTATATCAAATATCATCCATTTAAAGCTTTCATATCGAAAAAAAAATGACAGGAACACTACTAGTAAATAAAATTTTAAAAATGAAGTACAGCAGTCTTAGACAGTATGATTCAGGACTCAGAACCCAACTTGACTGTGAACTCTGGGTAGCGGCAGACAGGTCATCTCCCTACTTCTAAAGGATATGAGTATGCATGGGGCTGTCAAAGGGGAAAGGAAAAAGGATTTATACCTGTAAGGACATCTAAAACCTTACAGCAAAGAGATGCCTTGGACAGGACAGCAACTTAACAAATTACCCATCCTGCTGACTTGTTGAAAAAATAAACGCCTGAAGCTGCAGGTACTGCACTTAATTAACAGGTTGACATTATCTACAGTCTGGCACTCACATCACTTTTCACCATTACAATTGGCAAAAGCCTTCACAATAACTTAGTGGCAATGGTCTTCTGCCAATAACTCCACCCCAAACATCATATAAAATACTTATGCAGAAGCCAGGCTCAGCAGCACTAAGCTACATTATGCTTTGAAGTCTGCCAAACGCTCGCTCTGGCAGAGGGAGAGAGAAAAGCAATTTGCAGTGTGAGCAGTCTCTCATCATTCCTAGAAAGCTGCCTGGGCACAGAAGTGCTCCTGTTGACCTCAGTTGCCCTTCCAGTGCCTCACCAAGGGAGAGAAACAGCTTCTCAACCAGCTCAGACTGCTCTAGGACTCAAGCACTACACACCTTAGGAATGCTGATTTAAACACAGGGGTAATTATGTAGTCAGGCACACTACAGGGCAGAGGATTACTTACTGAGCCTGTAAGAGGTGCTTAGTTACAAGGTACAGTACAGCAGGTGGCATAATTTTGTTGAGTTTGTACACCGTGGAAAATATTTCTGTAGTGTTGTTAAAGGCTTTTCACACTTAGTTTAGCATAAGTCTTGATGCAACCGTTGACAGATTTTATGGCATCACCCTCTGTGTCCTAAACCTGTCAGCCCAGCTCTGCACCAATACCTGAATAATGACCCAAACACAGAAGGCATTTTCTAGAGATGGAAACATTTAGAAACTGAACATAAACATTTCCATCCAAAGACATGTAGTCTGCTTATAGTGAACTGCTATTTCAGGCCTAATCTTCAGGCTTCAGGAGGAACAGTCTTGCCCATAATTTCACAAGTTGCACAAACAAGGGCTTTCGTATGTGACTGACAAGCACTACAGTAGTTTGCTTATGATCACTCAGCTTTAGGGGTTAATAACAGGAAAGCGTTGTTGCTTTTAGCTTTTCTTTTTTATAAAAAAATTAATTCTTCTAGTAAACTACTGTAGAAATACATAAAAAGGAATGAAAGAAAGAAACGGTTCTGTGTGTGTCAACTTTCAGCTAGCTGCTAACCAAGGTAATTACTCAAAGCTGTGTACCCTTCTGGTACTCCATCTACCAGCCCATACTAGTACCAGCCTTTGGAAAGATTCAGCTGTCGGGACCCCTCATACTCCATGTGGATGTTTTGCCATTTGTTTATGCTTTGTTTTTTGTGTTGTTTTTTTTTTTTGCTACATTTGTTTCTTTTAAAAATCAATGCAACAAGCTAACAGTTCCTCAGAGCACTCCTCTGAAGACAAATAGATACTAGTTTAAAAGCAGCTATGCTTCCTTCAAAACAGCTGGCATTTGAGAAGATTGAAACAACTAACAAACTAGCCCCTTGCAAATCCACAGCTACTGCACATAAGACATGCATGAAAACAGACCAATTCCCAGAAAGCAAAGAGAAAAGCGTGAACATCCCCATGCAGTCCACCATGACTTGGGCAGTGATCATCATTGGCAATTTCATTAGCTGAAGCATCAGACAAAGAAGTACTTTGTGAAGAGCTTCAATGCAAAGAAACACCAAGAAGCTTCTCTCATTTGCCTGAAAATACACAGTAGCTCTGGCTGTGGACCCATCAAAAGCAGATTCAACCATAGCAGCGTAGCACGGCACACCAGAATGGGTTTTGACATAAGTTGAGTGAATTGAAACCTAAAAGTAAAATATTAAAGAAACTGAAAAAGAGGATGCTTAACCTAATTTTGGCAGCTCCGTGAAGAAACAGGGCATGGGTTTAATTCTCTGGGGCTGAAGATGCCAGTGATCCAGGGTCAATGCCCCAGCTTGTATACTAGTGGTGCTTGCATGTTCAGTTACACATGCTGTGATATGCTTTAGCACCACCTTCTCTCTCTCTCAATAAACAGCTTGTGCCAAGTCTAAACTAACTGTAACATAAAGGAATATAATACAAGATGTCACATCTGAGAGAGGATTCTAAACCTGTGAACAGTAAGGGAAGAAGATCAATCAGGCACAAAATTAAAAGTCTTATGACACACTTGTCCTCAGTGCTTGCCAATAAGCTAGTTTTCGGTAAGTCTTCATGCAGCCCCTGGACTTAAGCAGCAGCCTGCTCAGCATGTAATTTTGGAGTACAGCCTAAAACATCAAGTCAGGTGATACCTAAAGGGATTGCAGATACCCATCTCACAGCTCTGATTTCCAGTCTGCAGACAATTTTCGGTGTCTGCAGTTTTTAGTGCTGCAACACTTTGGTATCTTCAGACAGAAAATTGTATCAGTACTTCATCAATGCTAAGATATTTACTCTACAAGAAGAGCCTTCTCCTACACTCAGCTGTCCCCAAGTTAAAATTTCAAGACTTCTTTAACACATCTGAATTAACTGACATCAAACATCAAAGGCAGGATTTAGCATGTACTGCATATCTGAAAAGCACTCAAAAAGGTGAAAGCAATTACACTTTCTACCTTGCAGATTTAACGTATCGCTTACAGGATGATTTAAAAAAAATTAAAAAAAAACATAGTATTCCATAGGTTTATTTACATTTGTGTACACAGGTCAATATATTTAGGGTACAAAAACAAGTTTAAGAAGGAAGCAAATTAACTTTCAACTCTTTGACACTTCTTGAAAATTAGAAAACCACATTATTCACTAGATTAATTAAAGTATCATCAAGTACAACTAAAGGAGATTTAAGAACAATATTCTGATTATCACAATAAACTTAAGAGAAAAGTACTCATTTATTCTTATCCTAGTTGTTTGTGCCCTCTGGTGGAAGTACACTTATTTGGACCACACCAAGTAGGTCACAAGTAACTTGGGAAACAACTTTAATACAGTGCACGTCTGGCATGAAAAAGTATTTCTTGAAATTGTTTCATGAAAAACTTCTTGAAATTCTTAACTCCAAATAAGAAAAAAAAGCTAAAGATGTTAAATTTGTTGAGTATATTACTGGCATGCATTATTGAATGCACACAAGTTATGCAGAGAAAGGAATACTTAATTCCAAACGGTCCAGTTCTTACCTGATCTAAACTGTCCACAACCCTTGCACACAGGAGGGCTCCTGGTAGATCAAAGTAATTATCATACAAATAGTATTTACCTGAAAAACAAACAAAAACACAATCATCACTACTTTTTAAATCCATACTGTATAGTTTAATCGCAAATAAAAACACGTTTAAATAACATTTACTTGGCTTTCACTAGTAATAAGCATCATCTACATCCCAATTTAAGGATATATGTTAGCTTTCATTTACAGGATCAGAATTAAGAACCATATTCCTACTTCTGATCCTCACGATTGGCAGCTGACAGGTATTAACTTACACCAGGCAGTGAGATTTTTTAAAATAAATTAAGGTTCTAAAAGTTACTGTGGAAGAGATGGAGAAGAGTCTTAAAAGTCAAGGCAGTAACACTCAACACTTTCAGAATACCAATTTCCCCAGCATTAGAAACACAAAGTTTAAGAAGTTGTTTCAGAATCATTTGGACAGGTCTTATACAGCGTTGTCCTTTGCACACACATGCTAAAGACAGCACCTTAACCCAATGGGAAGCATGCCCACATTATTCCGCAACAGCCCAAAACAGAACTAAAAATCAGGCACGTGCAAATGTTCCTTCCAGACTGAGGTCATGTTCAACAACACTTTTCCTTGAGGAAAATGACTTAATAGGCAATTTTTTTTTTATTTTTTTTTTGGGTATTCATGACCTCATCTGTGCTGTCCCTTACGTACACAAGAAGTCAGCAAAACACAGATTGATAGTCACAAGAGAAATGAATTGCACTTCTCAATGAAAAAAAGAAAAGCTTCTTCTGATCATAAAACAGGTGTACCTCTCTTCTACCTCATTGCAAAAGATTACTTGTAGTTTAGAATAAGGATAACAGAAAAATTTGTGACAGCAAAGCACTTCTATTACACAGAATAATGCAACTCAACTGAGCATTTTGTCTTTAGGTGCATTACTTGCAATTGGTAAGATCAAAGTAAATTGGAGAGAAAGCACAGGGTAGCTAGCAAAAATGAAAGCCTAATCACAACGCCTTCACAATGTGGCTCCACCTTAAAGCCAAGAAACCTTCACCACAGGAGGAGTGGTTGTGTTTCCATATCTACTCAGTTCATTGCACTTTCACCTAGGCCTCCAGTAATATGATGGCAATGAGTCAACAATTAAGAAATACTTAAGATTTGCCAAACATATCTTAAATGAGGTTGAGACTATCAATCTAACTACTTCATCAAGAAACAATGTGTCCAACTCTGCAATCAAAACATGCCTGTATTGTCAACTCATTTGTTATTCGTTTTGTCGCTGGTAACCTAAATTAAGTTCAACTACATTTAAGTATTAGAAGTTAAAAATATAAAAACAACCCTTGTGCAAAACACTCACCTATTCCAGGCATTCTCAGCTCAAGTATTTTTAAATACTTGTAGTACAAACTAACACTACAAAACATTGAAAGGGCCAGAGCAATTTCAAAGACCAGGACATTCTAAGGTATAGCTACCTGAGCGGGAAAGCATTCCCCTTACTGCACTAAAATGCTTCCATTCCCTTCTTCCATAAATCTCCAGGACTTCCTCAGATGTCATGCTCCTAGTGCCATGGCTTGCCCTATTTGATGCATTAGAGTGGAAAAAAAAAAAAAAAAAAAAAGGTTAAAAATATTCAGAGTACTTCTAGAGCACAAAAATGAATCACAGCTGAATACTGAGGTGTATGTGACTTGATCTTCACTTAGAAGTAACTTGATTTACCAATTAGAAGTTTCCTAGGACCTAAGCTTTTATTATATACATTACAATCCTCAATAAAAGCCCTACTTCACAAAGGTCTGGTTGGCCGAGGGCATGGCTGCTGTGCCTCACCTCCTAACACAATCACTCTGTGTTGCTCGAATGTTCTCAATTGTGTGAGGACATTATTCTTGAACTATCAATATACACTGCACAATAAAACACAGAGCAGAAAGCCTATACACTATTCTGAAGCCTAGTAACATTCACAGAATGCAGGGCAGGGCTATGAAAAAATGCTAGCTTGAGCCCTGAAAGCAGCTATGTTATACAGATGTATGCACGAGCCTTTTCAGGAATTAAAAATCAATAAGCTTGATTGTGAAACTGTGGCCTGAAAGAATGTACAGATCCCAGTTTCAAAGGAAATGCCCACAATGACAGGATAAGTAATCTTGTACCACTTCACCCTTTAATGTCATATGTCCTCTTCTCTTGAATTCTACATGCAGTCCTTTGAAACTCGTGGTTCTGCTACATGAATTTCTGAACACAAAGCACAGACTCACGATTATTTTTTCTCCTATTTTATAGGACCATACAATAGTTTGGGTCAGAAAGGACCTTTAAAGATCACCTAATTCCACCCTCTCCCATGGAGGAGGACACCTTCAACAATTTCAGTGAAGTCTGGTTTTCCCTAGCATCTTCAAGTTTCTTCTACCAAATGCTACCAAAAAAGTATGGCCTATTTTTAGTATTAAACTACATAGATTTTCATTTTGGATAAAAATACGGGAGAAAGAAGACTGGGTTTGACATACTCCAGATATATTTACTTTTCAAATTTATGATTTAAAATAGCAGTCTTATGTTCAAAAAAAAAAAAAAACACAACACAAAAGGAGAGAAGAACTAAAGATGTACTGAAGTGATGACTCAAGGGAGAAATTGGCTTTTAGAGGAAAAAAAGAATTTTGGAAGCAGATGTGTCAGTTTGTCTTTAATTTACCTAAGGCTATTTAAGTCATATGTCACAAACTTGCACGAATTTTGAATGTGTATAATACAAAGATAATATTGCTGTCATTAATGTTAGTCATTAGCACCAAATGAGTCAGGTTACTCAGAATTCAAGAAAAACCTTTACCTGGATCTTAGCAGAATTGGAGTATTGGTAGTCACTGAAAAAGTGAGTTTAGTTTCAAAATCAAAATGCGCTCAGTCTTAAATGTTTATTAAAAATGACATCATTTCTAGCAGCTAGCATTTTCCTAATATATACATGTTAAGTATGTAACATCAAGAGAAACTGATCATCACGTTACCCAAGAGTATTTAAATTTTTACATAAGTGAATGTATGCTGAAATCAATATTTTAAATGTTTAACAAAACTGAGAGATGGCTTTCAAGAAGACGATAAAACGTTGGTGTTTGTTTATCAATAACATGTATAGTCAGTATTACCTCAAAACCGTTCCATCTTCTGCAAGTTTCAGGAAGTTTCCATCTTCAAGGTCCAAAACCAAGCCTTTACAACTAAAATTAAATGCATTTTAACGAAGAAATAAGCAATTAATGTTTTCAGAGGAATGTCTCTCTATATCACAATAGTGAAACACAGTTACAGAAGCTATACAACAATGGTACTTAAAAGCAGCAAAAATCACAACCTTTCAAATACTTACATATTTAAGCAGTGATCTATATATGCAAATACATATCATTACAGTGAGGGCTGGATTTCACTTACATAGCAAATTCCTACTAAATAAATCCAGTTCCATTGTTACATGACTTTAGCGTGACCGTTCATATAGATACAGCTGGAGGGTTAAGGTTCAAACATATACAACTAAGAAATGTGACATTCAAGTCACTTCTCCTTTTGAAGATATGTATCTATATCTCTATGTATATATACACATATATTTATATGTATATATATTTATATTCTTTTTGGTTGCAATTCCTCTGCTTACTATTACCAGGTAGGTAACACTAATATTAAGTGAGAGACGGGTAGATCATTCTAAATGAAGCAACTGAATATCTAAGGAGCATGTGAAGCAGAGACATTGCCATGCTAGCCAACATTCACCACAGGGTAAAGGGTACACGCTGTAGGAGATCTGTACCACAAGAATTTCTAACTCTCCTAGTACCTTACAGAAAAAAATGAATTTATGTTAGCTTAGATTGTTTGGAAGTCAAGATCAGAGTTCACTACCTAGTGTAGTGATGAATAAAAGAGAAAAAAAAAAGTGGAAAAGTAATGCTGTCTTCATTCTGTGTTATAAGGCACCCAAAGATATGCCATGAACAGAGCAAGCAGATTACACCTGCGTAAGTAGCACCAACACAGGTCCACACTAACAAATCCCCAGCTCCAGTAAGGGACTAAGGCTGGAATACCTAGATCTTCATGCTTCAGAGGCCTCAAAATATGAGAAACACAGATACCCTCCTTATCACTTGAAAACTGAAATTAGACCTGTTTGGAATCTGTCTGGTAATATACCAAACTGTAAAAACAATTTAAAAACACCTGTGCTTCTCCTAAGGGGAAAAATAGACAAACAAACAAACATGAGATAGCCTAGCCTTCAAGTCCCCACACCTCTGCTGTAGATAACAATTTATAGGAGATGAAATACTGGAGATAAACGTTCCTACTCAGAGGTCACTGAACTAAGACCAGGAAAGTTCATTTTAATCTTTAATATTACAGCTTCATGCCTACAGTGCCACTCCTACAGTGTTTCTTCCCAGCATGTCACTTTCCCTCATTTTCTCAAAGACTGTTGTGACTATTCTGTCTTACCCAAACAAAAACAACATCCATCAAGAGAAAAAGGAGATATGAATAAATTCTGATGGTTACTGGGTTTACCAGTTGAATTGGAGGTAGAAGTCAAAGGGGGTATACAAAATAAGTCAGTCTGACCACAAAGCTCGTGTGGAGACAGCTAGAAGAACAAAGCAAACTTAGATACTCAGTTGCCTCTTCAAACTACGTTAGAAGTATCTCATGGGAAACAGTTGCTCCAACAAGTATTTAAAACTGTAATTTTAGAATTACCTTTTGGGCTTGATAATCATAACAATGGTCAAATAAGAGAAGCTGTTTCCAAGCCTTTTAAAGGTTATAGCATAAAGGAAGTTATGAACAGAGATTGTTATGTTCAACATACTTACCAGAAGTCTAAGCTTTCTGGAGTTAGACTGAGCAAGCCTTTGTCGTAACCCTTCTCCGTTACCAGATACTGGGCAAAACTATCATATATTAGCTATAGATGGAAAAAAAAAGGCATTAATTATTTTTATTGAGACCAAAGATACTGTTCCCTAGAAAGCTGAAAGATCTGAGTTTCAGTGCTTCCTAAGCAATGGCAAATCAGGGACCTAGTGGCCCTGCCCCATTGTCTCCTCATAGCAGTGCCCAAGGTTACTTCTGGCTGGCAGGCAAACAGTTCAAGGTGCTCATGCAGTAGTTTTGGTGCATTTTTTTTTTTTTTTTTTTTTTTAGCATAGATAAGTGTGAGGTGTTCCTACCTTACTTCCCCAGTGCTTCAAGACTGTTGGGAAACCAAGAGAGTAAGTACCTAAGGCTAGTCACTACTTACCCCTCCCCAACCTTTTTTATTTTTAAAATGTCACCATTCATGACTCAACAAGTGGCTTCTGAACCTATAAACAACTAAAGATATTGGGCACTTTAAACATGCCTGATGGAACATACTTTGAAGGAAACAGCGAGTACAAAGTAAATTATTCATAAGTTTGGAAAGAACACTGTTAAAGCCTGTACAACTTTCAGCCATTTAATACAACTCAATTACAAAAGCTACTATTAGAATGACTATGAATAATGCCAGAGAAAGACCAATACAAGGGCTGGCACAGAAAGACTAAGAACTAATTGCATTTTCAGCCGTGCCTGCCAGCCTTAAGTTTTCGTTTCTCTTAGATAAGGAAGTATGCAGCGTGCATGCGTCAGGCAGCGTCTCTGTGTTGTGAGAAGATGAAGAGTGAACTAAAATGAATCGGTGCTTTCCGTCAGCAAAGGTACCTCTCCATGGGAGGTCAAACCACCCTAGGAAGCAAAGCAGTTTTTCAAACCAAGATGCACCAAACCCCAGCTATTTAGGGAATGGGGCACCTCATCCGCATTTGCTTCTCTATCATGCTCTGAGGGATCTTGCCACTAACATGCAAGTTTAGTCCTGTGCTGGGCAAGAAAAGGGAGGCATATGAAAGGGGCTTGGGCAGAAGGACACCACAAGCACCGGTGAGCCAGGACAGCTGGGTGGCAAAGTCAACAGAGATGCCAACAGAGGAGGAGGCCTCAGTGGAGGAGCCCTCCACGACCAGACGGGGCCCGCTCCGTGTGAGCTAACAGCGCTCAGGCAGGGATGCTGAGCGTCCCCAGGCTCGCCCTTCTGCTGCAAGCACGAGAAAGTTTGCCAAGGTCGCCTGTCCGAAGTGCCGAGCGCCGCTACCTCTGCCTGCAGCATCTCCGCACTGAGCCCAGGGGCTCCAGCTTCATGTCAGCACCGCGGCGGGCAGGAGGGCTCTCAAGAGGCACCGCTTCCAAGCCACAAGGCATGGCTGTGTCCTCCTCGCTCGGGCACAGGCCTGCGGAGGAGGCGGCCGGCCAGCCAGCCCGGCGCTTCCCTGCCTGCTCTCCCTCCAGCTCTCCCCGGGGGCACCTCCAGCGGCACCGCGGGGCTCCCCGTGCCCGCAGCGGGGCTCCCCCGGCCCCGCGCCCCGCCGTTCGCCCTTTCGCTCCGGCTCCCAGGCCGGGCCGAGCCGCGCCGAGCCGAGCCGCACTCACCCGCTCGCTCTGCGGGAGGTGGTAGCGGCAGAGCGTGTGGTCCAGGTCGAAGCCCACCACCTCGCAGTCGGCCAGGGAGAAGTGCTGCTGCATCGCCGAGCCGCCACCGCCGCCACCACGGGAGGAGGAGGAGGAGGAGGAAGAAAGGGCACGGGCGGCGCTTCCTGCGGCGTGGGGCGGTGCGATCGCAGCACCCCCGCCCCGTCCCCGCCCCGGCTCGGCTCAGCCCGGCTCGGTTCAGCCCAGCCCGGCTCGGCTCGGCTCGGCCCGGCCACCTTCACCTGTATGGGGTCTGGCCTCGGGGCGGTAGGGCCCCCCCGGCAACCCCCGGCAGCAGGGACGGGTGCGGAAAGGCGGAGGCGGGGCGCTTGTCCCGGAGGCGTGTTTGGGCGCCCGGGTTTTAAAAATGCGTTTCCCGCCGAGGCTCCGAGGGTTGGGAATAAACCTGGGGGCTCCTGCTGGGGGTGGTGGTAGCTACAGCTGGTCAGGAGTGCCAGCGCAAGTCTTTTAGAGGGAGCCCCCTCTGTTGAGCAGCAGGGTGCTTCAGCAGGAGTTAGGGCACGCCGGTCTGCGGCCAGGCAGCGCCGGGCCCTAAGGGCACTGCTAAAAGGCAAACAGGCAAACTGCTCCTTCACCGGCATCCCCTCAGTATAACAGAATCACACAGAATCACAGAATTTCTGGGTTGGAAGAGACCTCAGGATCATCGAGTCCAACCTCTGACCTAACGCTAACAGTCCTCCACTACACCATATCCCTAAGCTCTACATCTAAACGTCTTTTAAAGACCTCCACAGCCTCTTTCAAAGGAACTTGGAGTCTTTCACAAACATTAATACTTTCTAATGCTACTGTGTATGTGTATATATGTACTCCATATATTACAAATTCTCCATACATTATATCTATACATCATTCAGTTTATATACATAATGATACATACATGTTTTAGATATGTCAAATATATATGCATATATACCCTAATATGTACATGCATATGCATTTACATGTACATATGAATTCCCTAAATTAACGGGTATGAAAGTGTGATACCTGAACACGTGGAAAGAGAGGATCATCCAGTATATTGCACACAACAGTGATCACGGCCATCAAGATGAGGCAGCAGCTTGAGAACTCAGAGCACAAGATAATTTTTCTTCAAAGAGCTGCTTACTTTAGGAAATACAGAGCAAATTCCTGCCCCACTGAAGTCAATGGTGACAAATTTCTGTTGACCTTCAGTATGTTCAAGTGTTCACCCAGAAGCATGTCACACTACTCTCACTCAAAGTTTGCATGACTTGAAAATTATAGCCATACAATCCACTATGGGAATTCTCCTATTCCAGAAATATATATATATATTTTTTTTTCAAAAACACCTCATGCAGCTTACAAAATTTTGTTTAGATCATGTAGCTTACCATGCCTGTAAAACATTTTATATGAAAAGTCACCTCCAAACACCCTTAACAAACAGTAGTATTGAAACAATTGTGTAGGTAATGAAAATCATTTATTCATTGATCGCAGTACTCACTATCAACTAAAAGCAATCACAAACATCCAGATTTTGTGAGCACTGCACAATTATATTAGTAATGAGAAAGCATATTGGAATTTACAACACAAAAGCACTAATCAAATTTAATCGTAAGTGTCTTACTGTGAGGAACAGAACTCACAAATGGAACAATTCAGCAAGTTAAATTTCAGATACTTGAAGCTGAAGATTAAATTAGAACGATGACAACAGAAAATATAGAAAATGTTGGTGAAGAGAATTGGTTTTCATTTTTGGGAAAAGAAAAGGACAAATGAAAAAATATCACTTTCATCTTCTGAATTCACAGCACCAACCTGATAATAGGAATCTCCCAGCACAGTTTACTTTTTAGCTCACAACCCCCAAGGTTTATTTCTTTTTCTTTTTCCTGAAAAGCTTTGCTTTTTCTCACGATTTCTTCCTTTCAGATGAGTCTGTTAAATGTCTTGCCAGAGCACACCAGCACCTTTCTCAAAACCAGAGTGGAGCTGCCTTTAATTGAAATCCCCCCAAATAATTGAACTATCTTAATCTGTTAACAGTATCTTTTCAGATTACTTTTTCATCTCTGAAGTTTGATGGTACCATGGGATGTCCACATAAGCAAGGCTGAGCTTTGGGGCTACCAGGTCCTAACACATACTTTAGGTTTCTCCATGGTTAATTTATTTTATTACAGTAATTACTTTTATATTCTAAATATGTGGTAATGATCCATTGGGAAAAGACACAGATCCAAGCCAAACAGTGGAACCTGTTGGGAGCCTGTCCCACCCAAGGAGACATAGCTGGTTGGCCTGCAGCTGAGTGCAGCCCAGGCTGGGGCTGGTGGGTCCTCACCAGCGGTGATGTGTGTGACCTGATGTGCCTGGTACTTTTGAACGTGCAGAGGGTATTTTGGCTTTCATCATGTCTCTTCCTGCTTTCAACGCAGACGGGGCTCCCACCATTTTGTAGTTTCAGACAGCAGGGGTACTAACATGCCCCAGAGTGCGAAAGGAACCAGACTGACTCCAGTGGCATACGTAAAGGCACGAGAACCATGCCAAAATTCCTAAAATTAAAGCTCACCTCCCACAATTTGAGGCCTGTGAGCAGACTCCGACATTTCATTTTCTTTGTCCGTAAGGGGGCAGCAGTACAATGCAATGGGACGTCCCTGCCCTTAACTTTTAATGATCGTCACATGGCTATCCCTTACTTTCAGCAAAGTTAGGTTTTACTTTCCCAGGGCTGTCTAAACTGAGTTTTTATTTATTTATTTATTATTTTTTTTTCCCCTATGCATTTGCAGACATTTGCCTATTTATGTAAGGCTTACAGAAGTTTAATTAAAACAAGGAAAGGACCTCTCATACTGTGGAAGGGTTCACAATAATGATACATAAAAGTAAACAAAAATTTGAACAAACAAGGCACTTTTATTTTAGACAAGTAACACATTCTTACACAAAAGTGAAGAACATTCCATAATTGTAGCTGTAAGATAGTACTTTTGGAGTAGAATAAGTCAAAACAAAGAAGATTCCATTGGAGGAACAGTCCAAGAATATACAGAAGCAGGCCTCTGACTGTTTTTTAGAGTGACGCGTTAATAGGCATAGATCTAACAATACTAATTCACTTCAGGGATGTCCTGGTTGTCTAGGAGAAAGAAAACTGTCTTAAATGCATTTGTTCTGAAAAGTAGTCATTAATTATTAGTATTTCTTTAACAGACCTTTAAATACTTAGCAAAATGCTACCTTATATCCAAGGCACCCCTTTTTGACACATGAGGTGCCTTGTTACAAGACAGAGAAGCCTGGACACTTTTACTTTTTCAGTGGAATAAAGTACATACAGTCTCTAGCATCCTGCTTCAGGTGGGACATCTGATTGCATCTGGCATCTCAGTACTACACTGGTTACGTTCTTTGTTTTACTGGAAGCGAGACTGATGCTTCTAAAGAAACAAGATTCCTTAAAGTAAAACCATGGGTTTATTAAAAGGTTAAACAGGTGCTGTGTATATTGGGGACCTTCAACAGCCTGCTTGTTGTCCTTATCCCCCCTCTCAGATCTTGTAATCTAACTTTGACTGTTCCCACGCAACATGAAAGAAGGAAACGAAAATCAATAATTTTGTCATGGTGATTAATAGCCAAAACTGATTGCAATACTCTTAGTGACTATATTCTTGAAAACTCTGAGTAGTTGATACAGAGATACTTAGAAAGATTTTTCTTTTTGCTGGATGGATGCTACATTTAGTCAAAAGAAGTTGTACTGAAAATATACAGTTTTTAGCAACTATGCTTCCAAAGTATGTGCTTTATGGCAAGATGACTATGCAGCTGCTATGATATGTGGGACATTGTCCTATTTCTTCTATGTTTTGTTGCAACATACTTTTTTTTTTTTTTTTTCAGTTTTAAGCATAAAATTTGGAGTAGGAATTCCAAGTTCTCTGTGCTCATTTCCCTTTCATTCATGGTGTAGTCATGTGCAGATAGCTTAATCTCTTATGGCTTCATTTTCTTCACAAGTGAAATTGTACAAAGTCTAGTTCAGACATCCTGAGGATTTTTAAATTGTTCAAGTACATTGCAGACGTGGTTCAAGCCTGATACTTTTTCTAATGATTGCATAAAAGAAAAATCTGATGCATTTCACAGCCTGCACCAAAGGACAGAGCTATTGGACAACCAGTGGGAAATGCCACAACTGTAAATTAAAGTTTTAAAGATAATAGAACTAGAAAAGATGTAAAGACAGTCATCTTCTTGCCTTGGGGCAGGATCAATCAGACTACAAACATCCATAATAGTCAATTGTCTAACTTCTTAAAAAGGAGTAAAGAGTCACTGAGGCAATTTCTTCCAGCCTTTAACAGTCCTTACACACAGAACACTATGTTTTCTTCCCCCTTCCATCCATATAAAAATTAAGTCTCTCTTGCTCTATTGCATCGTTTTTGTTAAATCTTGTCCTATTCCTAACAGATATGAGAACCATATAATTGTGCACCAACCTTTCCTCTACCTAAAGACTGTTAGTATATGTTTTCCTACAGTCTCTTTTTGTCTAGTTCTTTGAGGCCTTTAGAGGCCAAGGAGTTTTGTATCTTTTATTCTCAAAGTGGATGATATTTATTCATTGTAAAATTGGTCCACTTTTTTTTCCTCCTCTGGAACACAAAAACAAAAACTAAACACGTTGCTCCAGTTTAGTATTTACTAGAGCTGTAGTAATGAACCCACAGTAATTTAACAGAGCAGTCTGTGTAAATTAATACACAAGTTAGTTAATTCATTACAATCATCATCACATTAAGCTTTTCAAGATCAAATTCTAGCCTATCACTGTGATGAGTAGGAAGGTCTTTTTATTTATTTTTTAAGTTTTATTAAGAAGTCATCTTTATTAAAGAGTGATTGATCTTCTATTTAAGAAAGATTTTCTTCTGCATATGTTCATTACTGGACACTGAAAGTGATGTTCACACTGGACACTGAGAGTGATGTTCCTTGGAGCTGTAATAACAAAATGCTAATAGTAATAGCTTATAAATCTCAAATGTAAGAGCTTATTTTGAATATAAATTGAATTTTATATTTACTGTTCTGCTTCTGCCTCTAGAGGGTGTCTAGTAATGATCTGATAAAAGGATAAAAAGGTATGTTGGATGTTGATAAGAAAGTGAAGTAAAGGATCTAGAAAAGTATATTTTAAAACTTAGTATACACTAAGTCTCAAAAAGATTCCATTAT